GCAGTTCGATGTTAGTTCAAGCGCCCGGTCACCAATGGCCACCGTGGCGCCACAGGAGAAACCATGGCTGGTCATATATAACCAACGTGGCAGTCAAAGTGTTAATTTCTCGTTCAAATCCGACGTTTATACCTGAACACTTGGAAATCAGATTTATCTGTCCATAACTCATTTTCCCAATCTTTTTATTGGGATTATGGATTTTAATTGTAATATATATATATATATAGGAATGCTAGTGAAAGTAAAGGAACTTTCTTTTGAAGGAGAAAAACTTTCTTTGTTGGGAAATAAAAATAAGAATTCGAATCCATTTCTGCTTCTCTGCGACTATTCTATAATTCCCGAATTTTAAAAGAAATATCCATTAGAAGAAGTCTGGAAAAGTGCTTCTTTGTCTGGTTAATTCATTAATCTTTATCCTATTATCGACTGAGCGAATAATTTTGTGACACACTGTATCTATTAAGAAAATTCAGTTTAGAAATTAAAGATTGGTTTTATATTTAATTTTTCTCTTTTGCAGTAAATTAATTTGTCCCAGGTTCTTTTACAACACGAAATGAGATGTGCAAATATGCCAAATATTTATGTTTCATATATAATAAGGGTTTTATGCTTTCATATATGTCGTTTCATATTTTTCGTTCTTTTTTCTTTTTTAAATTAATATCAATGAAGTTAAGGAGGTACATAAAGGTGGATTAAGATAGTTAAGTGTTATTAAGCAAGTTTATTTGGTGTTTCAATCCTTAACAAAGCATCTCTTGTTGCAGCTGATGCACCCTTGCAACTTACTCTTAGTTAGATGTTCCTGGTTGGGCCAACTTTACGATTGCAATAAAATCTTCAAAACAGTGAAGTCGAACGAGGGTTTCTGCTGTGGTTTCAATTACCATTTTATCGACGATGATAAGTAATTTTGAAATATTACAAGTTTTTATTCAATAAATATTTTCGTATTAAGGGGGTATTCTTGTAAACCGGCTTAAAAAAATAGATTTTTTAATTTTTACATTTTCTCAAAGCGTACGCTTTCAAAAATGTCTGTGTAAAAGGATTTGTTCAAATTCTTAAAATTAGCGAAGTTATAGGGGTTTTAAGTGCGGTGTACAGGCTTTATACAATGGGTAACGAAAACTTCAAACGCGTTTTTCTCGAAACCATATTTTTCGAACTGGCTGACGAGATATCTCGCGTTTGAGTTGACCGATTGACTCGAAATTTGGAGAAGATCTTCACAGGATGTACTTTTATCCTGTGCATCACGGATTTCAAAATCTAATGTTTTTTTCTATTTTTATTTACTACCCAAATGCCGAAAGCATGAAGGAAATCGATATTTAAACTTCAAAAGGCTGCCATTTTTTTAATTTTTCGAAATTTTACTGTTTTAGTGGAATTAATTTTGACGTATCATGTGCCAAATAAAGTGGTGTTGGTGCAAATTGTAAAATGATACTACGTAGTTGTCTAATATCGATTATAGATTATAGATTTGGACTGTAAATTGCGATATTTAGTCAACAGAGCTTTGAAAAGACTGAATTTTAATGATATTTCCAATTTTTATTTTATTTTAAAATGGCTGGTATGAAATAAAGTGGTGTTAGTGCAAATGTATTTTCATACAGCGTACATACCTAATATATTTTATTTTATTTATTTGTAATGGAAGAAATTGAAAGTAGATTCGGTATATGGGTTAAAGAGAATATTGTATGAGATAAATATATATATATATATATATATATATATTGTATTTTGTTTTTCTATTTATTAATGTTTATTCTAGTTTGTATATTGTGCGCTAGTAAAATGCTTTTATAGTTCAACATATCTTTAATAGATGGCAGGACACGTATATAAAGTGTGGTGGAAATATCGCAAATGGTGGCAAAAGCTATTCGTTACGACATCTGGCGAACTATGTTCGAAAGGTTCACATAAGCCACCCATAAATATAAATCGAATGCTCTTATTAAAATTATGCATGTTATATACAAGTATTAAAATGAAGTTCCTTTTTCGTTATAAATCGAGAATCATTTATTTCCCACATAAAATATTTAGTTAGGAGAAAGAGCCTCCTACATGAGTGATAGCTAAAAATTTATTACAAAGTATTACTATTCTACACGAGGTATCAAATAAGTATGAATGGAAGGAACTAGATATTAATTATGCTTTAATTATTGCTTTAATTTAATTAAATTCTTTACATGTACAATGGATTATCATAAATTTTTGAAAATCTATAATGAAAAGAATTGATGAGAATTCGTAACCACTGCCATCTACTAAGGACGCTATGAAACATGTCGATATTCCAAACCAAAATCTGTAAAAGTCATTAAAAAGTTTATATTTATTTTATATATATTTCAATCTACTACAACAATATTATTCATGAAAAAATAACTTTCATAAACTTTTATTTACAATATAACAATTATCTACTTGTTCTACGAAAAGCAAGTTAAATATTAAACATTTAATATCAAGAAACACAGAAATATTTTTATAAGGACTATGTTACATATATTTGAAGATGAATTACAGAATAGACCTATTATACAATACATTTTTCTATCACGCAATTTAGGAAGAATAAAGTTTTGTTATCATCATAGAGGTACTCCTGGTATTACCGACTTATCGTAGAATACGAATCCAGTGCCCCCGATTGTTGAAATTTAAACCAACTTTATACAATGGAAGAGATCACTTAATAATAAAAGTAGCGGGAATTAAGGACTTCTTAATTTGATATGTTCGTAACAGAAACATATTTGCATTATAGTTATTAATCAATATAGAAGACTTCGTTCGATATTCTATATCAATACTTTAACACATGGCTATTTTAAACAACAAATATCTTGTCGCGAAGACAGCGCATAGCTACTCAACCACGGCGAATTTCAAGTTCATGCCGAATCGAACATACCAATAACATATGATGGTAACCGAGGTAGTTACGGCCTTGTATCTGCGATTTCGCGAATGTTATGAACAAGTACGATGATAAGAAGGGAGGACACAATCAATGAAGACATTACCATACCGAAGCTAGGGTAAGGAGTGACCATCTCAACATTGTGATTAGGACAAAGTCGACTGTCAATTGTAAGCTGCTTTGATAGAATGAAGTTACCTGCAGTCGGAAAGTCACACACTTTACAATTCCTTTGATTACTGATCAAGTAGCAGTAATTGTCCGAAGCGACACGAGAAACTAATCGTATTTTTCCCTTTGCACTCTACGATTTATTTTACTACAGAAGAATAAAAGTTCAAAATTTATGGATTTTCTGCTACAAAACTGACAATATTTTTGAGTGCAGTAAATTCAGTAAATTAGTACAGTAATTTCAATACCTTGCACACTATTACGTTATCTTAAATTTAATATATTAATTAATATCGATTTTCGAAATTTGATTAAATGGTGACTGAAGGTCGGCTCTCGAGTGTCAAGGATTATTATTTCTGTAGTAAGTATAGTGGTCACGAGTGCTGATGTTCAATATTATAATCATTATCATTACTCGTGCAAAATATATTTCTATGGTATATTTCTCAACTTAGGTTAGGGCACATATGTCGCGTATTAGAATCTAAATAAAATGAATTTCTAAATAGAAATTTAGAAATATTTATTTATTCGTCTCATTCATTTTAATTGTTTTTTTTTGCGATTTTTGTGGAACACAAGTGTGTATCCTCAGAGTAATTTCCAAAATCAAAATTTCCAAAATATATTCGAATGTTTTGAAATTATGAGAGAATTTGCTTTAATTTTGGAATTGCTCAAATTTTTATTTAAGGATATGTTTTATATCATGTGTGTAATAGTGGTTGTAATTAAAACTACTCATTGTGAGTAGTCTGTTCTCTACCTTTTTGCTCTTTCTACTAATCACATAAATAATACTTTATTTCTACTTGTATGTTATTAAAAGAACGGACTAGATTTTTTCCTGTTTACCTTGAAAATTTGAATTTCATAAATAACATCTTTCTAACCTAACAGGCTATATTTATTCAAAAATTCCAAATGTACTTTTATTTGAAAGCTTGATACATAAACAGTTTTTGAAAATCTAAAAAATACGCCAATGCATTACTAAGAATTAATTCCAATACATATATGTAACAATATATAAATTTTTTATGACACCATTTACAAATATTAACGTGGAATTGACATATTGAAATTTATCTTAATAATTCGGACACTAGGTCAAATAGTCACTCTTTAGTTAATGAAATAACCTCTGTTAGACTAGACACTGTGGTATACAGGGTGTCCTAGTAATGGTTGTATTCTACGTGAAAAATCAAATCGAAAATGAAGAATAAAATTTTTTCATTCGAAGCTTCATTGTCGAGAAAATCGATTTTGAATATTTACAGAGAACGCTGGTATACAGATGGTCAATCCATCTTGTAAGTCACAGCTAAGTGCACGCGTTTTCGGTGGATATTCAAAGTCGATTTTCTCGACAACGAAGCTTCGAACAAAAAAATTTTATTCTTTATTTTCGATTTGTTTTTTCACGTAAAATTATCCTCTCTCCCTGGTTGTACCACCGATGCTGATGTATCCATAATCTATGCATCTAAACCATAACCAAGTGCACGCGTACTGGGTGAATACTCAAAGTCGATTTTCTCGAGAAGGAAGCTTCGAACAAAAAAATGTTATTCTTCATTTTCGATTTGTTTTTTCACGTAGAATCACCCCTTATCGATTGTATTACCATTGCTGCGACACCCTGTATAACGTCTGCAGCACCTTTAACGTATTCTCATAATCTCACAGGCTTTTCGTCGTGCGCCGAACAAAGTAAATGGATCACCCTATTTACTCACGAGAAAAACAATACCCTGAGTGCAAAAAACTCTTCAACGTTTCGATCGTTGTCGCCTCTCAGTACCCTCTTCCACGTATCATTTGCCTAAGTGGTTACGAATCGAATGTGGTCGCGATCCTAATGGCGTTTCGTGGAAGTCATGGTAGAAAATTAGTGGAAAATGGAATTAAAAAGTGTCGATATTATCGACACGACAAACAACGTGAGACGTTATCACGGATCGACCTGCTCAGTCCTCTGTCACTCCTTGCGTGCTATAGCTAGCTTTATACGAATATTAGTATCGAGGTGTATCGAAGTTCGAGTGACAGGATGAAAAGTGACCGCGAGAGTGCTCACGTGTGGAATAGAAGAAAGCTTAAAAGGGGCAAGTAGAAATAAATTTCTTGCAGTTTATGAATCTACGTTGAAAAATAGGTTGGACATGCAAAGCAATATTTTTGACAAATGAGATCTCGCAGGGAGAAATTTTTACTATAGCTATACTATCTATATAGTTAATTATATAGAAATCCTAATATAAATTTTAGGATTTGCAATTATTTAGATATCATGTTAATTGGTGTTCTTTTATATTTTCTATTTTTGTTACCAATAATAGATCATAAATTTAAAAAATATATTTAATATATTAAATATTTTACATATGAAAACCGTTCAATTTTATATTGTGTTATATATCAAATTGTATATTATGTGCACACAAATATTATGGTATGTTAGTTATATTATTATCGGGATTATAGCGATTATATTAATAAATTTAAATGAAACGAAAAAATTATTATATAAATTTTTGAATAATATTTAAATTCAGGAAGTCATCTCAGTTACTCGCAGACGATAAAAAGGTTCATTTGCGATTACTGCGAGAACACAGGGTTGCATGGGTTTCGATACATCGTTACGAGTAAGAGAATGTTCGACAAAGTAATTTGGTTTATGGTGAGTGAAATTCTCGTACTACGTTTTTGTTCTTTTTATTAGTTGATTTTGGTGAATATAAAATGAATATTTTGTGCATATTTTCTGCTCAGATCTGCATGTCTGCGATCGCCTTCTGCCTAATGCTGATGTTACGTCTGTGGCAGTACTTTTCGAATAATCCTACGGTGACCATAATTGACACGTCAAATCCCATAAAGGAATTACCGTTCCCAGGTATCACTATATGCAACAACAACAAAGTTTATAAGCCCCATGCTGATAAGATTGCACAGAAATTGTAAGTAAAAATTTACAATGGTCTGTATGACTATACTTTGATAAACATTATTCCTTTTAAGTAAATTTTTCAGATAAATTATCCATATCGTGTTTGAGTAAATGTATTATGGAGATTTTAAGTAATTAAAGAAAATTGCAGAAATAATTTTGAATAATTTTAAAAAAGTGATACTACTACATAAATGAAATTTATTAAATAATTATTAGAAAATACATAAGTGTAATTTAAATTAAGTAATTAAAGAAAATTGAAGAAACCATTTCAAATAATTTAAAAAATAAAATACTACAACATAAATACATAAATACATAAATACATAAATACATAAGTATAATTAAAATCAAGTAATTAAAGAAAATTGAAAAAATAATTTTAAATAATTTTAAAAAGTGATACTAAAGATTAAACGAAATTTATTAGATAATTATTAGAAAATATATAAGTGTAATTAAAATTAAATAATTAAAGAAAATTGAAAAAATAATTTCAAATAAATAAAAACCGTGATACTACTACATAAACGAAATTTATTATATAATTATTAGAAAATATATAAGCGTAATTAAAATTAAGTAATTAAAGAAAATTGAAGAAATTATTTCAAATAATTAAAAAACGTGATACTACTACTTAAACGAAATTTATTAAATAATTATTAGAAAATACATAAATGTAATTAAAATTAAGTAATTAAAGAAAATTGAAGAAACCATTTCATATAATTTAAAAAATAAAATACTACGACATAAACGAAATTTATTAGATATTTACAAAATAGTAAATAATTGTAATTAAAATTTAGAAGTAAAATACAATTTTATATAAATATAATTTTTAGTAATCCATAATTGGGCAACCAATTAAACTACAATCTTCCAATGTGGAAGCGTTACTCGTGCCTTCGGGAAATATTAAACCCAACTCTTTTACATTCGGAGAAATATATGGATATAATCGTGACAAAAAAGATTGTCCAATTGTAAATATTGGGCTATTGGAAACAGCAAACTTTTCGTGACACCCTATTCGAGTAAACGATACCGAAAGAACTAATAACGAAATATTCTCGATGCGATAAGATCTGACATTTTTCACTCTATATCACTCTCTGTTTTCCTTCGATTAGAAATTGTGGATCTACATTATCCTGTATTATTTTCTAATTCAAAATTACAATTTCACCAAAGTTTGAAAAACTACAGAATTATTATAGCACCATAACTTAAATTCCACAATTTTTTTACCTAATTTCGTTATTGTTATTATTATTATTATTATTATTTATATTAATTAAAATTTGTTTCGAAGATATGTAATGCAAATAGTGTTTTGGGTTTATTAATTTCTACACTTCATCTCTTTCATGGTCTTGAATTTTTCATTACGGTCTTGGAATTTATCTTCATTAAGATACTCTGTTTAATCTTAAAAAATTTCTATATTACTCGATTCCACATTTTTTATTATTACATGGCGCATAATTTTAATATTCTTTGAAATGATATTATTGTTATTTAATATTATCTCTAATGTTATTTCACAGTATTTAATAATGAAGAATTAATAATGGAACGTACAAATATTAAAGGGATATTCTTGTAATCCAGCTTGTGAAAACCGACTTTTTGGTGATTTTCTATAAAGAAACCATGATGTGTATTGGCATGCGGTTTTCGCGCTCATATTTATTTATACTTAGAGAATATTTATAATTTTTTTTTAACGAAATTAATCAAAATTGTGGAAATTATATGGTCTTGAGGTAAATCATGTTTTTAAAAACGGGCTCGAATGGCTGACGTGATTGTGGACCACCTGGTTATCCGAAATGGAAAAACTAAAAAGCCTTTTAATTAGTATAAATACAGCTATGTCATGAACCAGGAAAACAGCGAAATTTCGAAAATTAAAAAAATGGCGGCATTTTGAAGTTCAAATATCGATTTCCCTCGTATTTTCGTCCTTTGGGTGGTAAATAAAAATAGAAAAAAGCATCAGATTTTGAAATTGGCGATACACGGGATAAAGGCATATCCTCTGAAGATCCCCTCCAAATTTCAAGTCAATCGGCCAACTCAAACGCGAGATATCCCGTCAGCCAGTTCGAAAAACACGGTTTCGAGAAAAACGCGTTTGAAGTTTTCGTTACCCATTATACAATGCCCGTACGTCGCACTTTAAACATCCATAACTTCGCTAATTCCACGAATTCGAACAAATCCTTTTACCCACACATTTCCCAGACCACACACTATGAGAAAACGTAAAGAAAAAAAAATCGATTTTTCTAATCCAAATTACAAGAATCCCCCCTTAAATCATTTTATAAAAATTATTTTCTCCAACTAAAATGTAAATTTATCCTTTTATTTCAGTTTACATCACTATATCTTAATTAAAGGAATTAAATATCTCAGGTCACCTCATAAATTTCAATTACTCTCCATGTAAATACACCGAACTCGAGCAACTCGTCAGTCTCTTTACCGAGCAAAACGCTTTACTCTAATTTATACTACTTGCAGTCATTTTTCAAAATTACAAAATTTCCCTTATCGTTATCGCAAGATCTCAGAAAAGATAAAGAAAAATCGAAAGTAGCATCTGTGAAATATTATTTTACGTATACGCGTGTTACACGTAAAACTCGTGCAGCCTGGTACATATTTCTCAGAAACAATTTCTTTTAATAGGCAGATGTATGGATTCGATAACGACATGAGCAACAAGCTGTTCTCTTCCCTGATGAAACTGATACGGCCAGATAAAATTGAGATCGATAACGCAACCGCGACCTGGGCTCTCGACATCCTTGGATACACCGTGGAGAGACTTATGCTGGAGGTGAACAGTGACTTCCTTAAGTTCCCATAAATCCTTGGAATTTTCCATAAATCTCTCGTCATATTATTACCGAAGCAATACCTAACCCATACTATTGTTGGATGATTAACGATTCGTTGGCCCTTAGTCACTAGAAGGACCTGGCTGATAAACGCAGACCAATTTCAGAGTCCAAAAACAATTAACTCATTCCTTCTTTTACTAAGGGTCAATGGTCATCTTCACCTCACCAAAAACTAACATTATATGAGCACCCACAAAATTTGCGAAAGTCCAGTTTCAGTCCAGTTTTAGTTTCAGTTTAGTTCTTTTCCTCTCAGCCGACTTACATTTTTCCAACGTAGCCTTGTTGCTAGAACCCGTATTGTTTATTGAAATCCGGGTTCAAACACTATAACTGAACAACCTTTATGTTTAACAGTGGGCACCAGACAATTGTCATTTAACCCTTTGACTGCCACGCCGAAATCACATGTTTCGCTCAGGACGCCATGGGAGTGCACTTCTAGATACATGATTTGTTCTAATATGTTTTTGATGTTCTATTAAAAATTTTGAATTGTTCAATGGTACTTTTTATTTCAAAGTATCTTCTAATTAGCGGTTATATTCAAAATGCACCAACTATCAATTTTCATTCAATGCAGTTCGATGTTAGTTCAAGCGCCCGGTCACCAATGGCCACCGTGGCGCCACAGGAGAAACCATGGCTGGTCATATATAACCAACGTGGCAGTCAAAGTGTTAATTTCTCGTTCAAATCCGACGTTTATACCTGAACACTTGGAAATCAGATTTATCTGTCCATAACTCATTTTCCCAATCTTTTTATTGGGATTATGGATTTTAATTGTAATATATATATATATATAGGAATGCTAGTGAAAGTAAAGGAACTTTCTTTTGAAGGAGAAAAACTTTCTTTGTTGGGAAATAAAAATAAGAATTCGAATCCATTTCTGCTTCTCTGCGACTATTCTATAATTCCCGAATTTTAAAAGAAATATCCATTAGAAGAAGTCTGGAAAAGTGCTTCTTTGTCTGGTTAATTCATTAATCTTTATCCTATTATCGACTGAGCGAATAATTTTGTGACACACTGTATCTATTAAGAAAATTCAGTTTAGAAATTAAAGATTGGTTTTATATTTAATTTTTCTCTTTTGCAGTAAATTAATTTGTCCCAGGTTCTTTTACAACACGAAATGAGATGTGCAAATATGCCAAATATTTATGTTTCATATATAATAAGGGTTTTATGCTTTCATATATGTCGTTTCATATTTTTCGTTCTTTTTTCTTTTTTAAATTAATATCAATGAAGTTAAGGAGGTACATAAAGGTGGATTAAGATAGTTAAGTGTTATTAAGCAAGTTTATTTGGTGTTTCAATCCTTAACAAAGCATCTCTTGTTGCAGCTGATGCACCCTTGCAACTTACTCTTAGTTAGATGTTCCTGGTTGGGCCAACTTTACGATTGCAATAAAATCTTCAAAACAGTGAAGTCGAACGAGGGTTTCTGCTGTGGTTTCAATTACCATTTTATCGACGATGATAAGTAATTTTGAAATATTACAAGTTTTTATTCAATAAATATTTTCGTATTAAGGGGGTATTCTTGTAAACCGGCTTAAAAAAATAGATTTTTTAATTTTTACATTTTCTCAAAGCGTACGCTTTCAAAAATGTCTGTGTAAAAGGATTTGTTCAAATTCTTAAAATTAGCGAAGTTATAGGGGTTTTAAGTGCGGTGTACAGGCTTTATACAATGGGTAACGAAAACTTCAAACGCGTTTTTCTCGAAACCATATTTTTCGAACTGGCTGACGAGATATCTCGCGTTTGAGTTGACCGATTGACTCGAAATTTGGAGAAGATCTTCACAGGATGTACTTTTATCCTGTGCATCACGGATTTCAAAATCTAATGTTTTTTTCTATTTTTATTTACTACCCAAATGCCGAAAGCATGAAGGAAATCGATATTTAAACTTCAAAAGGCTGCCATTTTTTTAATTTTTCGAAATTTTACTGTTTTAGTGGATCATACTATAGCCGTATTTATACTGATTAAGATGCTTTCTGGTTTTTTCATTTCGGATAACCAGGTGGTCCACAATCACGTTAGCCATTCGAGCCCGTTTTTAAAAACATGATTTAACTTTAGGCTATATAATTTCCACAATTTTCAACAATTTCGTTACCAAAAATTCGGAAATATTCTCTAACTACAAACAAATCTGATTGTGAAAACTGTATGTCAATATGTATCATGGTTCCCTTAAAAAAAATCACCAAAAAGTCGACTTTTATAAGCCGGATTACAATACCCCCATAATGGTGCTTTACACTTTGTGTAATATAAACTCCATTTTGTGATTGTAATTCTTTTCATTCCTTTCATTCTTGCAATATATAAATTCCCTCTGTCTCCTTAATATTATATTAATTTTTTAAATTCCTATCACCGTAATTTTTATCGTTAATATTTAATATTATGCTTTTAATGTTTCCTCAGCGTGAAATATTCTTGGCTAAATATCACGATGGACGGCAATAGTTTAGGAGCATCGAATTCCTCCGATCTTCTTCCAGGTGTCGAAGACATTCTGGTAATTTTTCAATAATATTCCGAGTATTTCAAATTAATAAAATCTTTAAAATTTCCGTCCTCGTTTCGTAAGTTATCGGATGATCTTCGGTCTTATCCTCACTCGACGTTCAATAACAATTCAGAGGGAGAATAACAGATATAAACTGTCTTCAGCAAGTGCCAGGAACCGGTCGCGACGTAGGTCTGGCGGTGGCGCTGAATATCGATGCGGACAATTACAAAAGTTCTGTCAGGCAATTTGTGGGTGCTACCATTTTGATACATGATCCCTTCGATTACCCGGACGTCGGTGCACAATCCGCAACTTTGCAACCGGGCCACGTAATGACGATGACGCTTGCTGGCACGAAAATAGAAAGTTCCAAAGACATTCAGAATATTCCACTACTTAAAAGGATGTGCCTGTTCGACGGCGAGGTAAGGGTGAATTTAAGACAATATTTTCGATGTAACGTTTTTGATTAAAATTTTATTACCGTAATTGATGAATTTAGCTAGGATAAATCGCGTATATATAGTATTCCGTACCACAATACGGCCATATTAGTTCCGATAATCGAGCTTCAACTGTACTCCTTAACTCCTTGCACTATTTTTACGAGTCTGACTCGTGATGACAATTTTAGGCCAAACTTGAATATCACGAGTTAGGCTCGTTGTTAAATTTCATGCCAAACGTGGATATCACGTGTCTGACTCGTGATCGTCCTTACGGGTCAAACGTGAATATCACGAGTCTGACACGTCATCGATATTTTAGGCCAAACATGAATATCTCGAGTCTGACTCGTGGTCTTAATCTCGGGACAAGTATGAATATCTCGAATGGACTCACGACTATCTCGTATTCATTGTCAGTCGTAAGATTTCGTGTTTCAAATTCGGCTTCTTCCCTGACCATTCGGGCGCACGGGTTTGGCACGGCATTTTTCGAGTTTCAGTGTAGTGCAAGGGGTTAACACGTTAACCGCTACGCCGATTTTACGTGTCATTCCGTTCACGCCGTGATGCGGGCCCCACCGGGCCTTACGGACCGGCGAGGCCTGAACGGAAAACGTGTTAACACTAGAACTACCGAGGTGCTTTACGAGGTGTTGAGAATTATTTTATTTATTAAAAATATTGGATTTAATTGCATATACGTCGATTATATTTGAAAATATTTATTAACACTAGAACTACCGATATTTAATGGGTACCTAACTATAACGTGCACGGATTATAGTAATTTCAGCGATACGATGAATATGAGTGAATATATTGATTACAGTTCTCTCTTAATATGAGTTGATACCAATTTTATTCTTAAAGCAGGTGTATGTGTTCGGTGATTGCAAAAAGGAAAATTCTGGAACCAGTCATTTTCACTGGGTTGGTAGTTCTAGTGTTAAATGAAAGAACGTCGAAAAGGGGTAATAAGACCTTTAAAAGGGCAATTATAAAATAAATATATATATTGAGACGGAATGCGTGTGTTTATAAATGAATGTACTTAGGAAAGTATATCATCTTGAATTGAGTATACTCTAAAAACGTACGATTTTTGAATAAAGCGAAGTATTACAAAAAAAGTAAGAAAGTTAGGAGGTTTATTGTTGTTTGAGAAGCTAAGTGAGAGTATCCCGAGTGTATTAATGTCCATAAGTTTAATTATTCGTGCTTCTGAATAATTATAATTGGTGATCGAAGCTTAAAAATAAGCTTCCGAGTGCATTTTCTACGCACATTCTTGCATTTTTAAAATAGTTCTTGATATAACACGAATTTTCTTCACAGTAGCTTGTTCTGTAGGCTCTAAAGGAGAAACCATGAAACAGAAGTGTGGAGACAGTTTTCAATCAGATTAGCTGGAGATAATCGTGGGGAACGCGTAATACGGGGTTTTACCGCCACGCAGCCATTACTCGCTTCCCTAGCCTCGACAGTGCCGTAGCTACGCGTAATCCCAGGACCAAGTGCAATGGAGCAAACATATAACAGAAAAAAAAAAAATACAAATAAGTTGAAAAGGGAACAAAGGGAACTTCGAAAATTTACAATAGATAGGAAATACCTTAAACTTATTACTAACTTATATATAACCTATAATTAACTTATAACTAATATTTTAACTTTGGTGCGTAGCGCTTAGCTTGGTATCATTTCTCAAAAATTATTCTTTGGAAAACGATACCAATTACCAGGTCTCACCACGTGGAGGTGGCTGCGCATGCGCCCTAGTGGCGCAGCCTGCTGGCGCTATCTGTATCAAAGATACCCTAGCCTAACTTGGAGCGAAAGAAGTAAAAGAGAAGCTACTGACACTTGATAAATATCGTGTCTCACAAAGGTTACTTCGATTCGATATACTAAAACTCTACTGTCGCAGCGCTAAAATATTTTATTTCAATAGACTCTAATATTTTTAAGTTTCCATAAAAGTAGGGAATGAAATATGAAACACGCGAGCAAATAGAAAATTGCGACGCGCCCGAACGAGTTCGCGATTATTCGAAAGACCGATTAACCTAGATTCAGAGAATTTTCTTATAATTTTATGATCAGTATAAATTAGTTCATGAGAACATATACATGTGATATATATGAAAAAATGAGATCTTTTGATCGATGATTTTGGTGTCGATTACGCGTGACTGCGGCCCTGATGGATTAAACTTCTTTAAACGTTGTTTCTATTAACATTATCGAAATAAAAATAAAAAGTTTTGAAACTGTTGTGTACCAAGTGTGTAAAGGGAACTTCATGAATATAAATACGACCACTTTCTGGAAATTGCTGCTATATAATAAATGGAATTCTGGAATAGTAATTTGCAGGAACTATTCCAACTGTTATTTCTGTATATTTAGTGTAATATTAAAAATGGTATCCTTGATTAATAAAATTTTGAAAAACTTTCTTCTATACACCTTCGTTTCTTAAATGAAACAAATATTAAAATACACATTAATTCATAACTTAAATTAACGTTACATATATTTAAATAAAAATGAGTTTCTCTTATTTTTAATTACTGAATATTTTAAATATAATGGTGTTCATTTTTTAATTATGATGAAGCTATTACAAAAAGTTATAGAATTTTTGGACATTTAATCTGTGGGATTATAATCATTAAAATAAATGTTTCCTTGTATATTTTTAGACACCTGGAGAAAGGAGGTATAGTTATCAAACATGCATTTCGGAATGTATACAGCAGAAAATTTATGGCTCCTGCGGTTGTTTGCCATTTTTCTTTCCAGATAATCGTGAGTAACTTACGTATCCAAATTTTGTCAAAATTGCTAATTGAACATTAAATTTATTTTATTCTTTTAATCGATTATTTTCGATATACATAATATTATTATTAATAATACACAATAACAATAATAATATAATAATAATTATATATAAATTATTCCCGAATTGTTATTCACATTTATTTAGTATGTTAATAGATCCACAGGAGCGTACTTGTTACTTGACGGACGTGGATTGCATCTTGGCTCGTAGGAGTAAGTAAATAACTGATATTTACTCTTTCATACTCTACAGTTTTAGTACCAGACTAGAGAACTTGAATTAAAATAAATCAGGATAAGATTGACACGTCTAGAATTTAAAAAATCTGTAACAAAAAATGATTTATCAATTCAAAATTCAATTTTTTAGAAACATGTTAGTATCTTCTTCAAATGGAGTTATTTACTATCCAATTAACATATTTGTAAATTTATCTCCATTTTAAATATCATATATAAATAATTAATATTTTTGCACTCACTTTTCAATACCCATTCAACTTTATAATTTTTCAAAAGCAGGAAGCCTATCACAGGAACAGTTATCGCATATCGACGATTGCAATTGCCTTCCACAATGCAGCGATAAGAGTTACGAGGTGGTTTCCGAATCGGTACCAATGGGCAATGTAGGATACGATTCCGAAATAACGTGAGTAAAGTTTTCTCCTAACACCAACATATCGACGACTTAGATAGAAATCTAATTAATTAAAAAAAAAAATAAAAATTCGTTCTGAAAATATTTATCGAATACAATATATTACTGGAAACTTAAATCATTATCGTATAGGTAATCATAGCAATTGTAAACTCACCATAAATGATCGTATTCCCATTTAAAAATTTTTTCTTCAACCTAGGATTAAGTAGTAATAAAGAATTCTTTCTTAATGTTCATTTTAACAAGGAGTGGGTTTAAGCTTCAAAGTAGAAAATTTTGTTGAAAACATTCTATATTATCTAATTAAAACAGGTTAAAATAGATTGAAATCTGACATTATAATAATTCGAAAATAAACACTATGTACTTGTTGCATAAAGAAGAAATGAAGATTGTTTATTTAAGTTATAAACCTTCCTGACATAAGTCATCATGGTTTTGTATAAACTTGAATAATACGATACCTGGCATAGTAGAAAATACAGTTTTATTCATCTCGACTGTGTTAAATATTACGTAATATCTGTATCGGTAACCGTTATGCTCGCGACTGTCGTGCCATCTGTCGTCCAAGAGTTAATCCCATTACAGAAGGGTTTCCTACAAACAGTGAGTTACCCGATTGACAGGTTAAACTCGATAAACAAATGTTCAGTAAATACAACGAAGATTTAATTTACCGTGTTACACGATTTTCTGTTGTTGTTTTGAATATTAACCAAATATTAGCCTATATTAATCTAACATTAACCTGAATATTGAAGTTTCGTAATTTTTTCAAAAGTGATAATCAAAGCTATGATCCCGACGAATGTACACTTTGTAGGTTATGAAGAAAAATTGGTAATTGACTTATACATTGATTTTCTATGATGTTAAAAAATATTACTACTGAAAGCTTATTTTTAATCGTTTGCAAGATAAAAATATGTGTTTGTTTCCAGGCGTGGTCTAAACGTTAAGAATACTTCGTTCATGTACGCGTATTTTCGAGATGGCACGTACCTCGAGTACCGCAAACAAACTATCTTAGGATGGGACAGTCTTCTCGGTAAGAAGAACTTCATGGAAAGTCATCTACTTTTCTTCCAGCTACTTTCCTATCGCTTGTATAAGTGGTTAATAGGGCGTCTAGGAAAATAAAGTAAAATTAAGCCAACTTCGTCGTGAAACTAGGTACGAGTTCGAGAAGGCCGATTAAAAAGAGGATGATACTGAAAAAGTTTGTAAGAGGGAATGAGAAAATTTCCTTTGCAAGTTCGGGATTAATACATATATTTTGAAACCATTTTTCATGTGAAAATGTGACGTTACTTTAAAATAACGAAAAGAACTTTTATCAAAGGTACAATATTTTTATAAAATTATACACTTGTATTTAATACTAAATATTCATGAAGTTAAAACTTGGGTATGTATTTTCATGAATATTAGCAATTTTTCTTAAAGAGAGAAATAGTAATATTTTTCGATAATCAAAATTAATAAATTTCTATGATATTAGGATGATTTATAAATATTCAAGTTAGTAGAAATTTTGTAATTTTAATTGCATTACTTTTGTTGCAAATAGGATTCCGTTTCTTCACTTCTTAAACACCTATTAGCCACATTTATTAATCATGCCAAATTTGTTTTTATTATTAATTTTAAAATAAGCATACAAAAATTGTAGTATGATTAAAAAATGAATTTGATATTAATATTAATTAATATCGATTTAATCAGATATTTAAAAAATCATTCTATTGCATTACTTATATTTATAAATAAAATGCACTATTATTAAAAAAAATCGATATTAAAAATACAAAATTTATTTTATTCGGAAAATTAATTATATCTACTTGGTATTATTATAATTACATTTCTTACAAAATCTCGACTGTCTTAATTACTTTTATGAATTATTTAAATTTTAATTATAAATAAAATTTCAGCTTCTTTTGGAGGAATATTCGGGCTCTGCTTGGGTGGATCCGTAATAAGTTTAGTCGAGTTCGTATATTATCTGATATCAGACATCATTACTGTACGTAATAGAAGAAGAGAAAAACTGGATGAAAATTTGCCACCTGCTTCGAAATTATTCATTTCCATGCCCTCGAGTATAGACTTGAAGAAGTACAATGTATCGAACCTGAACAAACGCGTGCTACTTGAATGGGATCAACAGCTTTCTCATCGAAGTCGAAAAAGTTCTTCTGATTTTAGACACATTATGTACAACGAATGATATGTAAACTTATTAATTACTCGTGAAGCTTATTAGTTTTTCCATATAAAGATAAGGTATTTTAAGACAAATTATTGTACTTAAGATATTCACGGTTCATTGCTATATCCGAAATCAAAAGTCATATACTTTTGATCTAACAGCTAGTTTACGCTAAAATTTTTATACGAATGATATTATTATGAGTATTGTTGACACGTAAGAAATAATTAAGTATTATAATTAATTTTAAAATACTGCCTATAGAAAAGAATTTCTATGAAGGGACGCTTATGCTAAAATCTATTATATACTTGACAGAATTTGTTAGCCTACTCTGTAATTTCAAAGATTAAAGTAGTGTAATCTATCTTTTATAAACACTGTGTATATTTATTATTATGTATAATTACATGTAGAACTTATTGATTCTAAAACTGTAAAACAGGTTACAATCAATTTAATTTGTTTTCTGAAAGAAAAATTAAATACAAAATAAATAGTATTTATTTTTAACAACACTATTTCTATTATTATTATTGTTATTATTATTTCTATTATTAAACAGTTTTACAATATTAAGTTATACCGAATAGAAACAATTTAAAGTGTTTTGGTAGACTTTTGTATTTCTCCTCTATTTAAAATAAAAATAACGTAGTACAATGTTACTGATACTCGTTCGTGATATATTCGATTTTATCTGCGTCGACGTCACTGGACTCGATTGGACATTGCGTATGGAACACTGCATTTGATGGTACTGCTTCTCTGCCAGGCTTTACCCGTCAAAAGATGCTTCAGATGTGAAAGAAAACGTTGGTTCAGCAAACAGTAGAGCACAAAATTGGTCGAACTCGATATAGCGTTCATGAGAGTTGCATACATGCGGAATCTATTCGTACACGTGAACATTATATTTTACTTTTATCAATAATCAATAATATTTGTATTTACCAATCATAAATTGCCACTTTTTTAGAAAGCTTTCATGAAAATAATAAAATAAAATTAATATAAAATTAATTAAAAATTATTAAATAAATTACTACACTTTCCACATGACATTGTAATTTGGAAAGTCATTAATATATAATATATTTCACTATGTACAGAATGTTTAAACAAAAACATTTTTAAATGTAGAACATGATAAGAAAGTTAAAAATTCAGAGGATCAGCATGCTGAATATAAAAGAGGTATTATCAAAAGTCACTATATATATATACAGGATGGGGTTACATAATTCATGCAGACTAAAAATAGGAAAAAGTCATATCACCGTCCTTTATATGAAGAGGGAATATACTAGTATATGTTTATCACGTAAACATTTAAAAAAATATTAATTCTTTAAATTAATAATCAATCACTATATCTACATAATAAATCTTTAATAAAATTTAATTAATTTAGTGTTAATTGGCACAAAATAACTCAAAAAATAAAACTTAGATAGAAATAGACATAGATAGACTACATTATTTTCAGGTGATATTCAAAGGCAACACTCACCTTTCCATGTAATACTCCGACACCTTTGTCAAGTCTCCCCCATAAAGAAGCGACAGTGCGCCACGTCGCGATGCCAAATGAGTTGGCACCTCGCCTAGGACAAACACGAACACGATACCAATCAGCATTACAGTCATTCTCGCTTGATCCTAAAGAATAACAAAACAAAGCAGTTAATACTTTTACTATATCACTCACCGAATATCTATTCTACAGTGCAGTTTAGTTAGTATCTTATAATTGAAACTACACATTCATATAATGTGTTTATTGTACAATAAAATCAGATTCTATAATCCGTTCGCGATGAAGTGAGGGAAAAAAATAAACGTAACGTGAGTCGATAAAATAGTACAAGTGGGTGATTCTACATGAAAAAATAAATCGAAAATAAAAAATAAAATCTTTCCTTTCGAGGCTTCATTGTTGAGAAAATTGACTTTGAAGGCGACAGGCTCAGAAATTTGAAATCGTTAAGAGCATAGGCAGGCAACGAACGCGCGCTAGTTCGAAACAATGACATATTTCCAATGTTTTGATTTCTCCGCTTATTCCTGTTCTAACCGGCGATTTCCTGGAAAGTCGAGTGTTGCAAATGTTTTGGAATGTAACGTTGTTTTAGCGAAGCGTTGGTTCTTGCCTTTATCATATTCGGTGAATTTTACGGTCCGCCGCGCGATGGAAGTGGAAGGGGAAGCAGTCCCTCGACGAATCAGCGAGCCGTTTAGAGAAAACTACCGCGTGATGGGCTTTAGTGCACTATTGAATCTGGTCGCGATCGGATGCGTCACATTGTACGGATGTAATTAACCTCAACTTATCTATTGCGTAGTACGTTTATTTATTTTCTCTCATATACTACTGTTAACTTTTTTCGATTAATATGTGCTTATTTATTAACTTCTTGAAGAATAAGAATACATAAGACATATTGGACGCCAACGACCGAATTTGAGAACTAAATATGGCCGCCAACGAACGAATTTTGAGAACCAAATATGACTGTCAAAGAACGAATTTGAGAATCAAACATGGTCACCAACGAACGTATCAGAGAACGAAGTATGGACGCCATGATAGTTCGTCTTTGAATCTGCTAACTTTTCGTGAAAACCTGGTAATGTTGAATTTATTATAATGAAGCCAGAGGTAATATATGTTTATAAGTACTTTATAAGCACTTAACGAATTATCGGTAATTTGTTTCATGTCTCATATTATAACACATAATTAATATATGATTCTTCAATTGAAAGTAAATTCATTAGACGTGTTATATTTGAATAATACTTACTGTATTTCGGTCGTGAATATTTTTTACCATCGTCATAATTTGCTCTTAAACAATAATTTGTATTATTTCTACGAAAGTGTCACAATTACAGTAACGAACAATTTTCAACGCAAGTCTAAAATCGGTTGTTGTGCAGTATGATTGCGCAGATAAATTTCAAAGTCTAGTAATGAACTGTTTCATATAATTTCTTGCATTCAGTTGTATTGTAGTATGATATTTCTAATATTTTACATTTATTTCTTTGTATTTTCGATACGTATTCTGTTTGCTACATCTATCATCGATGAAACGTCAGCTTCATAAAAACAACAGTGGTTTTTTTAACAAACGTTCGGCAGAGAGAACTCTCCACCCCATTCCCCATTCCTCGCTAATTTTTTTCTTTCAGGAATTTTTGCGGCCGCGCACAATGCGACTGGTAGAGTCAGTGTTTGTTTACGTATGAAGTATCAAGTTTCCTTTTCAAAGTCCAGTAGTCCTTGCAAAGTAAAATCATAATTGTCATACGCGAAGATAGAGTCAGTGTTTGTTAGTCCATCAATATTTAAGCGGGTGCGTTAATAATATTTTATTTCTCTTTTTATTTATTCATGACATTTTTTCTAAATATTTGTTTCCGATATTAAAGTCAGTTCTTGCCTGGAGAGGAACCAGCGGTGCTCTGGATGCTAAAAATGTACGTATGTGTACATTGTAAATTAATTAATTTTAGTTTTTTTAATTTGTTTTAATAATTATTAGTTGTGAGACAAAGAGAATAGAAATGTAGAGTTTAATCAATTTTAAACTGGTATATTAAAGTATCAATTGTTTGCTATTTAAATCTTTGCAAATGATTAAATTGTGTTTATAAGAACAGACTATAATATTTGATGCTTTGTTACAGAATTTTGCAGCTACCATCTTCAATGCATCCAGCAAGTCTGCCTTCATGACAGCCTACACCATAACGGTCTGCGCGACGTCGATTTTCTCCATGACTTCTCAGCAATTGCAGCAACGTTCTCTGCATCATTGATGAGTCGCATGCATTTTGGTTCCTCTGGTTACTCAATCATGTCGTAGGACGAAAGATCCAAATCGGCACGAGTGATTGGTTGTATTACGTAGAATTTTTTACGAGCATAGTGACCACGGGTATTTATTATACCCGTGTCCTTTGGATGGGAAATCATTCTTGTTACTACTTTGTCACTATGCTCTTATTTAGTAGTATGTAGTAGTAGTAATTTGTTTACTGGCCGATGTACGTCGGTCCATCATCCTGATTTGGGCAAATCGGGATTTTTATGAATAGCGTTGCGAGTAATTAATCACGGTTTGAATTAGCGTTGCGAAGAAGACCAGATCTCGGGATTTTAATTAGGGTTGCGAACAAATATTGATTTCGGTCTAAATTAGAGTTACCATAAAGTAATGATCGCGGTTGATTTAGTATTGCGAATTATAAGATCGCGATTTATTTAGTGTTGCGGATTATAAATCACAATTGATTTTGATACTTTTTACATGAATTATTGTTTCTTGTTAAATAACTATATCAGAATTTGTTGCTCGAACGAAGTAAAATTTGTTTCGTTTAAAATTATATTTGTATAAAATTTTGATTAGCTTTTGGTTAAGTTTATAGTGTCGCGACTTTTATCAATAGGGATTTTTCAGAAGTAGCTATTTGTACATATAGAGATAATAATTTTTATCAAATTCATTTCAAGAATTAGCGTTGTGTTTAATTTGTGTCGCGAGTCGCGTTTTTTCGAGTAGTGTTGCGAATACGTAATGCCCAAAATTGTTCCACTGGGACTGTGGAAGAATAGTCCTGATCCTGAGGATCACCTGTTGCAGCTATGAAACTGCACATAGGTGGTCACACATTATCATCCTGGATGATGACTGCCCATTATTCCTCGTTATTAGTGTTACGAATTTTTGTATATGGGTGCATAAATTAGTATTCATTAGTTTTGTGTTCGTAATTAATACTTATTATTATGATTATTATAATTATTATGATTATTTTGAAACAATGCAAATTCGTTATGGACTTAGACCAGAGGTTGAAACCATGCAAATTCGTTCTGGACTTAAAGCAAAAGTCGAAACAATACAAATTCGTTATAGTCTCGAGACTGGCCCCTGTATAGTGCGTTCGAGGAAAGAAGGCACAACGTGTTTACATCCTCACGGCTGATTAACTCCACTGACACCCCTATGATCACAGGCAGGTGATGAAGATCAATGGCGGATCGTAGCGAGAGCGAGTGAGACAGAACAATGGCTGCATTGGCGTATTCTTCCAATCGAAATGTTAGCTATTCTGTCTGTTAATAATATTTCTACTGGAAGATAACGTTGTATGTACTCAGTGCACATAAATGACAAATATGATTATAAAATTTTACATTTTTTAAACAAACTCCTCTACTCCCCATATTATAATACTATAGTACTTATTGAGTACTATATAGTACTATATAGTACTTATATAGTACTATATAGTACTTATATAGTACAGATTATGCTATAATATAGTATAATAATATACTATTAATACTATTAATAGATATTATTGTATAATATCCTGCACCAAAAAGTTAGTACCGCTTCGCTCATCTACGGTTGGCTATTCCAGGGAGTGGTGGGAGTAGTGGAATAAGGGTGGGGGCCTCGAGCATGAATTAGTAGAATATCAGTGTGAGAGAGACCCTGTTACCGTTCGTTCCGTGAGGGACCGTGCTCCCAGGCTTAATAACATTTCGACTGAAAGACAATGCTGTTGATCTACGTCACCGTCTCCGACCAATAGCGATCGTAGGATTGCAACAGGGGTGGGGATGTAAACGCGCTGCGCCTTCTTCTCGCGGAAGCATAGTAGCTTCTACCATTATTAGTATTCTCAGTCGAATTTTTCATTAACTCACGTACTCTCAGACGATTTCCTTCGCGGATATTTTTGTACTGCAACACCAACTGCTTCTTCCTCAAGGTCTTCTTCACGGACTGGCACATGATCATGTTCGTCACCACCAAGAGAACAGCCGGTATCATACCGAACATCACGAACTGTAGCCAGTTTTGGAGGTTATATAGCCTGCAAACACATTCCTAATTCTATTCACTTTTTAGATGAATTTATGGGAAAAGTTACCGAATATCGAGTACTATACTTTCTGAAATTTGTCCCGTTGATAGCAAACTTTTAAAAACTCGTTGTGGATTAATAAAAATAATACAAAATGCATATACAATAGAAACAAAATTGAAACTCGTTATTTCTAATAATTAGTTAAAGGTAGAATGCACGATATCACAAGCAACATTTAAATACAGGGTGTCACAAAAAAGATCATGTCTAAAGGTTCATGAATTTATAACCTTCATTCTGTAATACTGATTTTAAAATATATCCTTTTCCTGTTTTATTGTTTATAATTTCATAACTGTCTATATGTATTTACTAAATATTAATTTTATATATAAAATAGACAGTGAAGAGCAAAGGGTTATAATTTCATCAGAAGAAATCGTACAATACCATTTGTGGGGTCAATATAAAGGGCACAGCCTGTAGCTTCATCCAACATAGATTATGTCACATGGTGTTCTATGACAGTGCTAATAGGAAGGGATCAATTCTACCAATAAGGGAAGCATTTCACTACTGCCATGATGTTAAAATGGTTGGGCTGGTGGAGATTCCGTCCTACAAGTTTCTCAGATGACTTCTTTCCAGCAATGCAGAGTACTTCAAACACACACCGCGCTCATAAACTAACTGTAGCGTTCTATTTCTCGAATCTCTTCGATATCCTAGAACGTTTATTACGCGCCAAATTAACATTGCGTGACTAGTTGTAATATTAAGGATCCCGAAGTGTGTGTTGATAAAAGAGAGCGTTTATTTATAGAAGAGTATAGAATAGTTATAATGGAGACGTTGAACGTTATACGTGTAAGTAAGATGTTTCAAGGATCGGTGTCGAAGACGAATTGATTTCTCGAATTTGATCTATGTCGTGTCTCGTCGTGTCCTGTCCGGTGTTTTCTCCAGTTTAGTTCTGATTTGGCAAAATAAACGTTGGTGGTGGAAAAGTAAGGAGTTTTAATTGGACAGAGGATGTGACGGAAGGACCTTTGGCTAAGGAGTAGGAAACTGTCAAGGAGCCAATTTTTGATGGTCAATGACGTGATTTACAAGTGGTGTCCGTCCGTCGTTTGTTGGGTCTGTCACACGTGGGTCCCATCTGTCGAGTCTGGTACTTGTAAAAATTTCTGGACTTTCGTCTTTACCTTTACAACTTAATCCGCTAGAACGGCGGTGAGGCACATCTATCCTCTGGAATTGCAGTCGCGATATAAAATATATTGTAAACCGTCAGATCTGTTAAAAGTGTAAGCTTTAGAATAAGAATCATGTTATATACACGCTCTCCGGGACGAAACACTAATTTCCACTCGTCTATTGCACTTTGCATGCACATCTATTCGGCCCTCTTGCGCGCGGTCACCTTTGTTCTAACTTCAAACGCTCCCGACACTCCTTCAAGGCCTTACTCGTTGTATACATATACATGTATACATTCAAAGTTCTGTTTACTCACCACGAATGAAAGAATCTTGTCGTCACCAGGTCTCCTTGATCATTGTAAGTGAAAATCAAGCAGTATGGCACGGTAATTAAAACAGCAAAACAACCAAAGAAAATCATCAACCTTCGTGCCACTTCATAGTCACAGAACTTAGGTGTTTTGCACTTTGGTAAGCTGTCGAAAGAATTAATTTTGTTATTCCTCGATGCTATGTATCTTCGTTGTATAGGTTATGTACTGCGGAGAGGTTAGGAAGAAGAATGGCGTTTAGGATGATCAAGTTCGTGGGTAATTATAAGTTGGAAGGAACTCGTGAAGAAGTTAGCGAAGAGATGCTACGTCTTGGACGACTACTAGGTACGGCACTGTCGATGATAATCTACTGACGAAAAAGTTATGTTCGCGTAAGGGGAAGAGATAATCGCATTGTTTTAATACGTGTCTCGTCGAGGTAGATTCTTCGCAAGGAATTTTGACACAGTCCCTGGCCGTCGAATCAATGTCACTAAATTTTCTATGCTTTTCGAGTTTTTTAGGGAAATTGGAATATCAAATTAGAAAATTTGGAAATTATTTAAACTCGCTATTAATATTGAAAATATATTTGTTACTTTGACACAGTAATTATAATTTGTATTTCAACCAATGACATTAAGGATTCCTAATCAGAGACAGCAGAAATTATGCAAATTTACTATTGATACTGAAAGTATGCAAAAGTGATAATACCTCTATTAGTTGACCATTGACTATAAGGTTACAATTTAAGGTTAGGTATTGTTGTAAACCGGCCTATAAAAATCGACATTTGGGAATTTTTTTTAAAGAAACCATGATATATATTGCCATGCAGTTTTCACATTTAGATTTATTTATACTTGGAGAATATTTCCGATTTTTTTGTAACGAAATTGTTGAAAGTTGTGGAAATTATATAGCCTTAAGGTAGATCATGTTTTTAAAAACGGGCCCGAATGACTGACGTGATTCCAGACCATCTGGTTATCCGAAACGAAAAAACTAAAAATCATCTTAATTAGTATAAATACAGCTATAGCATGAACCACCAAAAGAACGAAATTTCGAAAAATTATAAAAATGGCGGCATTTTGAAGTTTAAGTATCGATTTTCCTCGTGTTTTCGTCCTTTAGGTGATAAACAAAAATAGAAAAAAATATCAGATTTTGAAATCCGTTGTGCATGGGATAAAAATACATCCTGTGAAGATCTCCTCCAAGTTTCGAGTCAATCGGCTAACTCAAACGCGAGATATCCCGTCAACCAGTTCGAAAAATATGGTTTCGAGAAAAACGCGTTTAAAGTTTTCGTTACCCTGTTGTGTAAAGCCTGTACGTCGCACTTTAAACCCCTATAACTTCGCTAATTTTACGAATTTGAACAAATCCTTTTACACAGACATTTTCGAAAGCGTGCGCTTGTAGAAAATGTAAAAATGAAAAAATCTATTTTTTTAAGCCGGTTTACAAGAATACTTCTTAAGCTGTTATCAATGTAGGGGGCCCTGTTTTTAATTTTTTGCACACTGAGAATCTTTTTATTCGCACTACACTTTTTCAGTGAGATATTTTTGGAAATTGAAAGTTTAATTTCGAAGAGAAAAACTGGAAATACGTATCTGTGAATTTATTCGTAGAGTAACTATACTCAATTTTGTATCTCCTTGATGGAAACAAAGGATATGTGAATAAAGCTTCATGACTATGACAACTCTTATGACGCTCTACTTTCTTTCACGCCTCTGACACTCTAGATCCACGTTTTTCAACCTTCTATGTTTCACGTATCCTCTGGAAATGTATAGTGGTGGCATAGAAAGAAACTACTGTACTCCTTGCATAGAGAAATATATACTTTAAATATAATGTAATAATAAGAATAAAATAAAACAGTAGAAATTATTAAAATTTAAATAACTTTATAATTTTAAATTCTAATTTTGCATAATTTAAATAACTTTATAATTTTAAATT